TGGCCGCCAAAGATTAGTTATTTCCTTAGCTTAATAGTATGTGGTTACTGAAAATTTACATTTTTTGTGCCTTTAATCAACGTTTTTCAGAAAAATTCACTTAGAAATGAGTTCTTAAATGGGCATGAAAAGTGTTGAGCCAAAAACCAAAAATTGGATAAAAATTAATAAACCTGCGGGAAAATGCAAGTTTCTTCACTTTGATTATTTTGACGAGAGCCTGATTCCACCACGCTGCCTCACATATGATTGCTTGACGGTCACCGTCATTTTGTGTCTCCGACTCCGCGCAGTCTCCTAGGGTGTAACTGTTTTGTCAACTACATCCAGCAAGCTGATTTGGCTGTCTTCATTAAACATATCTTGTGAGGAACCAGCAGCAGGACTGTCACTGGAAAGCAACGATTTCAGGGGTCCTTTTGTGGTTCTCGGTGTCACAATGTCTTTTAAAAATAAGAGGGATTTGAAACATTGCCATTTCAGAAGGTGACTGTTTTCAGCGCCATCCCTAGATCATGGGGGTGTTCATTTTTCCCCTGAATGACAGCTTGATCCCTTAAGTACTTCCATTTTTTTCCAGCAAAATCTCTGCCAAAAAAAAAAGTAAATAATTGTCGTTGTCTCGGCTTAATGTTATTCATGCTCATGTTATCTTTACATGTTATTTCTCATGAATATTTATGATTTTGTTTATGTTTACCCGCGGCAGATATCTTGCAACTGGAACATCCTTCAGGAGTCTTGCGTCTTGGCTGTATGTGAGCTGTGTGTATGTGAGAACCAACCATAGCTAGAACTCGAGGCCAACTTTTTCCCCGTTTTCCACAAGTCTATCCTTTACCTTTCAAAGAGAAAATGCATACTGTGATCAAATGCACCTTCCTCTCTCTGTGAAATTTTCATTTTGTTTGTTTCAGAAAATTTTCCTCCTATTACAAGAACTGATGATGTTTTATACAAAATATGAAATCGCGAGTCTGTCGGCGAGGCCCAGCACCCACTGGTGTCGTAACCTCTTTACATAGGTCAAGTCGGCCGGCAATACAAATGACAGGTCTACAGAGTGAAACAGCCGTGTTGTGAGGGTGATAAAGCCGTCCGTTCTTGGGTGCTATCTAAAAATAGAAAACCTGGGATTCCTTCGTATTCTTCATTCTCAGCTGTGATACCAAAGACCGTGTATAACAAGATGTTTCAATAGCCCTATCCCGCGTCCACGCAAGACTTGGGCGCTACTGGTAGCTGGCGCGTGACGGCCCGTGATACGAGCGTGAACAAACGTTCCAGTGCTCTTGAGTTGAACCCGAGCAATTTTTTTTGCAGAGAGAGAGAGAGAGAGAGAGAGAGAGAGAGAGAGAGAGAGAGAGAGAGAGAGAGAGAGAGAGAGGGGGGGGGGAGGACAGACAGACAGACAGACAGACAGACAGACAGACAGACAGACAGACAGACAGACAGACAGACAGACAGACAGAGAGATGGGGGGAGGCAAGTTCATCAGCACGCTCATTTCCGTGCACCCCGGCGTGACCAGGGCAGAACACCCATGTAATTCTTAGGAGGTGGCTATTTGCAATGGAAGCTCCCCAGTCACTGTAGAGCCACCCACTCCTCATTTTTTCTAGGGTGCTCATCGAGTCTGTGACAAACAGGGCATGTTTATACGCTTCCATACTGATCCATTCCAGCGCCTGTGTTATTGCCTTGACCTCCATTGCCATGCTCGACGTAGTGCACTCGTAGGCTCCAGACTGTCAGAATAGAGCTAAGAGAGTGAGAGAGGGTTAATCATCATTGGGACAGATTGAAACAACATGCACAAAGGACTTTGAGATGGTTTGGGCACTAGGTATAGTACTCCTTGGCACTAGCTTTCTTTTTCTTATCCAATCTACCTCAACAAGTGATTGAGATTGCCGCGCGCATCCACGAGTTCGTTCCAGCCAGACCACCTCATAACATGACAGTTTCGTGGCCTCTGTTCCTCACTAACCTGTCAGCGTGGTTTTATTTTTTTTTGTTTTTGTAAAGTGTTTTACGGCGCTCGCAACTGCATAGGTCATATGAGCGCGCGGGACACACCTAATATTTTCAGTTGGTAGGAAATTTTGAATTTTGCCCGGGTGGCGGCCGAAGCCTACTCTTATCGATTTTAGACCACCAAGGGATCTTTAACGTGCGCAACTTGCACACGGGCCCTCCGAGATTTTTCGCCCTTGTCCGAGAAGGCTAGGTGTAGATCTTTCCTACCAGAAGATCAGGGGTGTGGCAGAAAGACAGCAGTAAGGAGGAGCCAAGGAGTAGCAGTAGAAAGGCTGCAGAAAGAGTCAGGAGCCCAGAGGAGGGGGCAAAGAAGGTGAAGGGGTGGGGGTAGAAAGTGGAAATAAAAGCAGACAACAGAACATTGCTAGAGAGCAGGAAAGGAGGTGAAAGGAGACAATTTTAGAGAAGAATTTTTTTCAGTCGCTACCCGGATTCGAACCCGGGACCTTTGAATGAAAGGCCAACACCTTAACCTCTAGGCCACGAGAGCCCCCGCATAATTTAGCAAAATTTGATCATTTTGCGCATAATTTCTGATTATTTTCCTTTATCATTTTTTGTTGAAATTAACAGAATAGCATAATTTCACATTTTTGGGCTCTATTTGCATAATTTCAGAATTTTTCTTGCATAGAACGACGGGGAGAGACTAACAGATGATTATGCCCAAAATCTAACACCGTCCGTGCGCAAAAAGGGTTCATTCTCAACACGAAGCCAGTGGCAGCTAAATAAAATGTACTCATAATCATCATAATGAGCATATTTAATTTATTGTTAAGTCCAGGATTGACAAGTCATGGCTCATTGTTTATTGAAGAAAAATGTTGATAAGGAGACAGAGAGAGCACAGAGAGAGAGAGAGAGAGAGAGAGAGAGAGAGAGAGAGAGAGAGAGAGAGAGGGGGAGAGAGAGAGAGAGAGAGAGAGAGAGAGAGAGAGAGAGAGAGAGACGTTATGCCAAAATGTTCACAACAACACTTGAGTGTAATCATATTTTCCTCCGCATGGTACTACTACTACCCCGACTAACAAGAGATCGTGCGACAATAATTATTATTCCCTCTGTGGTTTCTAAAGAGGAAACTGCACCGTAGAACAATCACACCATTCGTTATGTCCAAAAAAACGCGAAGCCTTCAACTCCCAACTCCCCGACCACCCCACAACTCCCAACACTCTCTCTCTCTCTCTCTCTCTCTCTCTCTCTCTCTCTCTCTCTCTCACACACACACACACACACACACACACACACACACACACACACACACACACACACACACACACACACACACACACACACACACACACACACCACAAGTGTATATGTACAATGCACAGATGGAGCGGATATAAATGATGTGATGTCTTGTTTTCAGGCAACGAGTCGGGCGATCATCCCGACCCGATCTCATCCGCAACGGCCACTGGGCACCCGTAGGCCGTAGTGAAAAGGAAAAATTGTAGATCTAATTTCAGGTACGAATTGACGCCTTCGCGTCGTTATTTATTATTTATTTTTAGTTGTGGAAGAAAATTTCGGTTATTTTTACCGAAATTAAATTATTATTTTTCCAAATGTTGCAGAAAATTGCCTAAAATTCGTGAATTCACGAAAATGGCAAAAGTTGCGCTGAGGCCAAAAGTTGCGTGTGCAACTTGCGGGTTGCGCTCGCGAATTTCTCTGAGGACAGTCTTATTTAGAGAACCTAAACAGACCGGTAACGAGGAAATATCAGGGTAACGTAGCTTTTTAAAGAGCATTCAAGCGAAGGAATGAATGGAGAATCATGATCGGCGACGTCTGCCGCAGATCGGGAACTTGGTGGTGATTCAGACGATGATGAAGGCTTCCGACCCTGGTGGCCTTCGTGATAACAACACATGAGGGCCACACCCTGCTTGTCAGGGCCAACTCAGACTGAGAGAGAGAGAAAGAGAGAGAGAAAGAGAGAGAGAGAGAGAGAGAGAGAGAGAGAGAGAGAGAGAGAGAGAGAGAGAGAGAGAGAGAGAGAGAGAGAGAGATACATTGTCACAGCAGAAAGGCCGAGATACTCGATAACAATTTTACAAGTAAATTTTAATTTTTCTCCCCGCTCTCGGGAATCGAACTTGGGTCTCCTGGGTGCGGCAGTGAAGTGTCTCCAAATAACCGCCACACCAGAGACACCGATAATTGGACCTTTTATTGAAAACTGGGCCCCAAATTTTCGAAAATCGCTAAGGGCAAAAGAACTTTTTGTCGTTAGTCTTACTCGGAGGTGAATGCAATATACTTGTCTTTTCTTATTTTCTTGTTGTTAAAAGAAGATCCACCACCGCCTCAAATTCAGTACTTTTTTTTTCCTTTCATGAAATTCTCAACTATCTCTTTAAAGTCAAGCTAGATGCCATTATAAGGAAACTGTTTTTTCTTTTATAAACCACACCTTGAATCCCGTCAGGGACCCGACGGTGTGTCCTTGGGAAAGGCACTTTACTACACGAATTTTCCTCACTTCACCCAGGTGGGAATGGGTACCGGGCTATAGACAGCGAAAGATCTTGTCAGTTTATTAGTGTTTGAGCGCTTAATAGGCTGCTTGCAGTGTATGCTTCCCGGGAAGCTGAGAATGTTTCGGAGTGTTCTATGGTCTGCTGGGGTAATAATAATATAGTGTAAAGCGCATAGTCTGCTGTTGAGCGGAGATATGCGCTATACAAATGCTATATTATTATTATTATTATTATTATTATTATTATTATTATTATTATTATTATTATTATTATTAATATTATTATCATTATTGCAGTGGCCTTTACTTTGCCAAAAGCAAACAAAAATACAAAACAAACAAAAAAATCATTCGTAGTAAAAAAAATACAGAAATTGAAATTACATTTCATCTTAATTTTGAAATAACGAAAATGCGAGGTCATTCTTTCGTGGTAAAAACAAGAAAACACTTTGTGCATTCTACTTCCGCTTGCTTGTCGTTTGCTGTTTCACTGTGTAGATCTACATGCGACAAGATTACCGGTTGATTAGCCATGGTGTTGTTCAATATTCGCCAGTGTTCTTTATTTTTGGGTACACTTTTATTTTTTCTGTTACTAGGAGAATCAAGAAGTGATGGTGTATTCGGATGTGGAGGATTTGTCAAGTCTGACGTGGAAATTAATTATTCGTTGGTCGAGGTAAGTGTCACTCGAAGCCTTCACTAGATCTACCTACAACTACAGCCAGTTTGGTGACTGACGCTGACGCTGTGCTGCAGTTTGCCGTCTCTAACTGATCAACTGACTGAAACTGACTACAAACTAGGAATTAGACTACACATAGGCCTAAAACTACTTCTGGAAGACTGGGCTTCGTCCTCTGCTTATTTCTGTTCGGGGTTGGGACGCGATTAGAAAGACTCTGAGTTACAGCACCAAGGCCTTGTGCCACTTGGCCTTGGCCTTGACTGGCTTGACAGTTCAGTAAAGACAGATCTAGAAATCTAGGCAGATCTACTTAGATCTAATAGCCTAATGATGACTGAGTTGTAAATAAAATTTTAGTTTGCAATACCTAAACTAAAGTATTTTGTATTTCAGACGAAACTAAAACTAAAAGGTGACTTACTGACGTGCATGTATTTTAAGGCCGTCGTTATTCGGACTCGAGTCCAAATAAAAAATTTTCATATTCGGACTCGAGTCCAAATAAAAAAAATTCTTATTCGGACTCGAGTCCGAATATGAAAAAATGTTATTCGGACTCGGGTCCCGAAAAAAGGAAGTGTCTTCGTTCTATAGATCTAACGTTCAGTGCTTCCAATTTTCCGCCATTTTTTAGTTTCCCTCACACCTTATCTGCCGATCCAATGCCCGCCGCCTCATTAATACGCCCCCCCCCCCCACGTTTCCCACTTTCTTTGTTGTAGAAAAAGGTAAAATTGAAGATTAGCAGACCACCTGGCACCTGCATATAATGAGCTGTGTTAAAAAAAAATGACCGATTCGTTCAAATACACAAGCCTATCGATTGCAACTTTTGATTCCATAGACCAGCGCACAATTCATTATGTAGATCTACGTCAAGACTAGCTTATTATTGTAATAATGATCAGTTGCCGGGGGGAAAAAGACTGACGCGTATGCGACGTTCAAAGCCCGGACCGATAGTGCCCCCCCCCACCACCCTCCCCGACACGCACACAGCCACACGTGTGCAGGCCGCCCATCCGACCCCGACACACGCTAACGAGCCATCTTTAATTGCTTCTGATGACCTCTTGACAAATAAACATTTATTAGAAGCGCTATAACTTTTCAGGCCGGCCTCAAATTCATCATAAGATTAAAACTCGGCTCCTGCACAAAACGCCTTTTTGCCCGAAGTGATCCC